GTCTCAAACCCGCGGGCTCAGGCCATCCACTCACCTCAGCCTCCCAAAGGCGCGGGATGAAGCTGCATTTTAAATAGGCATTCCCAGGTGACTGATGAACGTGGTTGAAGAGGAAGACTTTAAGAAACACAGAGGCCAGCCATGGTGGTTCATGCCTATAATCCCAGCACTTTGGGAGGCCGAGGTGAGAGGACTGCCTGAGCCCAAGGGTTTGAGATCAACCTGGACAACTTGGCAGGACCTCATCTCTACAACAAATCAAGAAAAATTAGCCGGGTGTGGTGGCACATACCTGTTGTTCCAGCTACTAGAAAGGCTGAGGCGGAAGGATCGCCTGAGCCCAGCAGGTCGAGGTTGCAGTGGCCGTGAGTGTGCCACTGCCCTCCAGCTTGGGCAACAGAATGAAACTCCTATTCAAAAAAAGAGCCTGAGTCCGTGGGTTCGAGACCCACCTGGGCAACTTGGTGAGCCTCATCTCTACAATAAATCAAAAATCATCCGGGCATGGTAGCGCGCACACCTGTAGTTCCAGCTACTTGGAACTTGGCTACTTGGCTGAGGTGGAAGGATCGCGGGAGCACAGCAGATCGAGGCTACGGTGGCCAGGAGCGGCCACTACACTCCAGTCTGGGCGACAGAGTGAGCCTCCAACTCAAAAAAAAAAACAAGGAAAAAAAAAACATGGAAAGGATTAGTTAACGTGTGTGTTTTGGGGAGAGGAGTGGGGAAGACAGTACTATCGCCTGTAGCCACCAGGTGGCAGCAGGGAGAAGCAAGGAGAAACAAGCCTCAGACAGGTGCTCACCCACAGAAGGAGGTGGAAAGAGGTTGTGGAAGGAGGAGGGCCCTGTATTGCAACCTGGTCTCCTTTGCCAGGTGGCGTCTCTATTACTGCAAGCGAATCCCCTGTGACTGCCTGTCTCATTGCCAAGTCTTTATAGAGATTTTGCTTTTTGCCAAACGCTGCTGGCAGGAACTGCATGAGTGTGACCCCGGCCAGGCTGTGGGTGGTAATAGTTTGTGTTCCGTTTAAGTGAGTGGGAGAGGCAAGGGTGTGTCACATCCCCAGACGTGTTCCCCAGGCAGTGTCTCCTACACAGGGCAGTTTACGTGAAGGACACCAGTGCATGCTGATAGCAGCGTTCCACACCCCCCACTGCCAGGCTTGTGGTTCCAGGTGCTATTAAAGGCCTGCTCCTCTCATGACAGGATCAGGTCTGTGGCCTGGGAGCTGGCTGAGGAATAAGCAAAGGATGCTGGGATGGGGTGGGGGCAGGGGGTAGGGAACACAGGATGGGGCAGCTGCCTCTGAAAGCTGCCAGAATGTCCCCAGCTGCAATAGGGGTGGGTAGAGGATTAGGTGACAGTCCCCTAACCCAGTCCGGAACTAACACCCTCCTCCCCCTCACACACACACCCTGGCCTGCCAAGGCTCAGAATAACCTTGAGAACCAGAAAGCAGGATGGCAGGGGCTCTGCTCGGTGCTCTGCTCCTCTTAGGGCTCCTCGGTATGGGCAGGGATCAGGGAAGGCAAATAGACACACACAGGTACTGACATAAACAAAAAAGGAGGGCAAAGACGGAGACCAGGATAAAGACTGAGACAAAGTAGTTGGTTCCAGGCACAAATTTGTTCAGGAGACAGACAACAGAAAAATACACAGCCTCGGTGACCTGTGCAGTCTCAGAAGACGCAGAGAGGAGAGGTGCTCCGGCCTTTTCATCTCCAATGACCCTTTCTTCTTGACTCCATCCTAGGCAGAGGTGAGGGGAAGAATGAGGAACTGCAGCTGTATCACCATCTCTTCGACAATTATGACCGAGAAAGTCGGCCAGTGAGAGGGCCTGGGGATACTGTCACCATCTCTCTCAAGGTCACTCTGACCAACCTCATCTCACTGGTAAGATACTAGTACCCTTACCCCAAGCCTAAAATCCCACTTCTGTCCTCGACCTCTGAGCTCTGTCCTAAAGCTCACTCCTGGTTCTGAAATCCCGATTCAGTCATCCCAATCTCCCACCTGCAGAATGAGAAAGAGGAGACTCTCACTACCAGCGTCTGGATTGGAATCGTGAGTTAAATCTGGGGAACCGTGTGAGGCCTTTCCCGGGGGACCTCTTTCTCTGGAACTCTTCTTGAGCAACGCCATGTGGGAGATACAGGACGCACGTTCTTCCTTCCCCCCTCCCTTAGGAGTGGCACGATTACCGACTCAACTTCAGCAAGGAGGACTTTGGGGGCATAAAAATCCTGCGAGTCCCTTCAGAACGCGTATGGCTCCCAGAGATTGTGCTGGAAAACAAGTAGGCACCGGGCCACCTGTTTTCCAGCTGGAGGGAAGCAGGCCTGGGGGGCGGGAGTGGGGGGGAAGGGCGGCTGAGCTGGACTTGTCGGGGCAGGGGGTGCTTGGAGGGGGTGGGGACCTGCGCAAAAGCTCGGTTTCCTGAGCCCACAGTATTGACGGCCAGTTCGATGTGGCCTACGCCTGCAACGTGCTGGTGTACGAGGGCGGCTCCGTGAGCTGGCTGCCCCCGGCCATCTACCGCAGTACCTGCGCCGTGGAGGTCACCTACTTCCCCTTCGACTGGCAGAACTGCTCGCTCATCTTCCGGTGGGAAGAGTTACTCAGAGACTCGGAGGATCATGGGAGGGACCTGGGGCAGGGGGCGGGGCCGGAGGGCATCCCTGGGGCGGGGCTTTGTGCTGGAGGCGGAGCCAGGCGATGGAATGGGGTGGGCCGCTCCAGTTGGGTTCGAAGTAGGGGTGAAACTAGAGGCGCGCAGACCCGGCCTGGGTAAAAAGGGTGGGACCTTATTGCCCAGCAAGATCCAAGCTTCCAGGTCCCAGCCTCTGGGGCGGGGGTTCGGGCTCTGGCTCCGCAGCTCCCAGACGTACAATGCCGAAGAGGTGGAGTTCACCTTTGCCGTGGACGACTCTGGCCAGACCATCAACAAGCTCGACATCGACACTGAGGCCTATACCGGTGAAGCCCCCTCTTGCTCCAGAAAATCCGCTTCTAGACAGGGTCCGGAGAGAGGGCTTTCAGAGTGGGGCTGCCCCAGACCAACCCCACCGGGGACTGACTGCGGCAACACCGGGGTTGATTAGCTCGCCCCTTCCTGAAATCGTTCTCCATTGTCACTAGTCCTGCCTTCCCGGCTTGCGGTCTTTCCACGCCCTCACCAGGAACGCCCTTTTCTGTCCGAATCGCCCCATCCTGACAGCCCACGGCCCAAGCAGTCCACTCTGGCCTAGACAACGGCACCCTCCTCCGGGCCCGGAGGTAACAGGTTTCCGCGGTCGGAGAGCAGCGGAGGGTGACCGCGCCTCCCGCCCTGCAGAGAACGGCGAGTGGGCCATTGACTTCTGCCCTGGGGTGATCCGCCGCCACCACGGGGTCTCCGCCGGCCGCCCGGGGGAAACTGACGTCATCTACTCGCTCATCATCCGACGGAAGCCGCTCTTCTACGTCATCAACATCATCGTGCCCTGTGTGCTCATCTCGGGCCTGGTGCTGCTCGCCTACTTCCTGCCGCCGCAGGGTAAGGAGTCGCCCCTCACCTGAGGCCGGGCTCGCTGCCGGCGGGAGGGTCTCACCTCACCCGGCGCTCCCTCCAGCCGGCGGCCAGAAATGCACCGTCTCCATCAACGTCCTGCTCGCCCAGACCGTCTTCTTGTTCCTAATTGCCCAGAAAATCCCTGAGACTTCTCTGAGCGTGCCGCTGCTGGGCAGGTGAGGGCAGAGTGTGTCCCGGAGGTGCCCACACGGGGGCGTGGCCAACGTGCAGAGCGGAGCCGAGAGGGGCAGCCGGGTGGGGGCGTGGCCCAAACCCAGCGACTCTGGGAGAAGCTTTGGCTGTCTTGTCCCCTTGGGGCTTTATTTGGACTCGGCATGGGGCTGGGACGGGGCTGGGTTCTCTGGTCCCCCGTCCTCCGCACTGCTGCTGGACGCCACCTTGAGGTCTCCTGAGTATCTCTGTGGGGGACGGTCAGGCTTCCCGGCTCCGCCGCCTCTGGCCCCCAACTCATCCCCCATCACGAGCTCACCGGTTCCTCGGGGATTCCGAGGCCCAGCTGCCGTCGCCACTGTTGCAGGAAGGAGGCGGACCGCTGTGGGCTGCGTCCACACAGGCACAGCCACGCCCCCTGGACGAGGAGCCGGGCGCTCGCGCCCACCACAGCCCCAGCTTGCCGAGCCCCCTGCCCCGCGGCCTGGGCCACCCGGGCCAGCGCTCCACCCGGATCCCCGGAATCTGGGGCTGGGCCTGGGTTGCCGTCGCTGCCGTCTAGTCGCCGCGCCTCCTGTTGCAGCCACAGGGCTGAGATCTGCAGTGGGGGCAGAGGTAGTGGAGACGCAGAGGCCCCTGCTCCCGCTGCCCCATCCTCCTCCCTCTGTCCCTTCTTCCCCTCCCCACCTCAGACCCCCAGCGCCCCACCTCTAAGAAGGTGGCGCCGAAGCTCATGATGCTGGACGCCGCTTCTCTTAGCACCAGCCCCAGGGTGGGCTTCAGGGCAGGCGACTCCCCCAGCTCCTTCGGCTCCCATGGCTCCAGGGACTTCAGCTCCCTAAACTTCTGCTCCAGATATTCATGGGCTGCGGCCACAGAGAGTTCCAGGGAAGACAGAAGCGGGGGCTGGAGGGCCACCTGGAGAAGGAACAGGGACAGTGGAGTCCTCTGTCATAAGGCAGGAGTCACGGGGGGCGGGGGCTGGCGACCTACACCACGAAGTGCCGCCCTTGGGAGGGGTCGTTGGCGTGGCCTCACCTCGGTGGAGCTGTGGAAGTGGTAGACCCACAGCAGGGTGTCCAAGGAGCCGGGGGTCCCCTTCATAGCCGCCTCAGGTGGTAGGACGGGCAGAGGGGCCGGGGACGCGTCTGGCCTCGCTGAGGGGAGCGGCCAGCGGGCACAACCCCGCGCTCGCGGAGAGAAAGCGTGTTTGTGAGGTCAGAGCACCAGCGGTGCCTTCCGCGGCTGGGCGTGGGGCGGCCGTGACGTCACGCATCCCGGGCTCCTCAGGTACCTCATTTTCGTCATGGTGGTGGCCACGCTCATTGTCATGAACTGCGTCATCGTGCTCAACGTGTCTTTGCGGACGCCCACCACTCACGCCATGTCCCCGCGGCTGCGCCAC